CCCCAAAACCCCAAAACCCCAAAACCCCTAAATGTACTATCGCTTCTATATTATCTATAATATACTATTTTAAAAATAAAAATCTTTAATATGTCTAGTTTAATCAATCAATTTAAAATATTCTATCAGACAAATACAACTCTATAAACTTCTATTTCGAGTATTTTAAAATTTTTCGCTCCCCCTAGATACGATTTAGTATTATCTTATCCATGGGAAAGGCCTGTTGGTGTCTGATATGTGTGACCTAAATTACAAAGACTATTATGGTTCTTATCACAGTCATGTGAAATTAAGATATCGTGTCCTCCTCCTTGTATCCAACTATGAGATGAACTATGAAGAGCTGCTTATTATAGATTTTAAAACTGTAAATGCTTAGTTTTATTAGTCAGTGAAAATACAAAAGCTTTTTAATCTACTGTATATAAATTATTAGAATTCCAAGGCACTGAGACGTAACCTCCAAATACCTTTCCGTGTTCAGTAAGAGCAAATAATATTGTGGGTCCTAAATTGTTGCAATACTAATGAAAATCTTAGGATGCAAAGCCATCTCTTGATCCTTTGTAAATCAACTAAAACTTCAAGAATTATTAATTAAGAATATTGTCTCTGATTAAAAATTCCTAGTTTGTTGTGATTTAGAAGTCTACTAGTTTTCTATAGTTCATGTACTAAGGATTTGTTTCTAACAGTTTTAATGCAGATAATTATTCAGGAATAGTCTAGAGTTAGACACTAGCAACAGATTTTATTTCTTAGGTAATAATGTTATTCTCTTGTTTCTTCTCTTCCTCCTTCTATTGAGGATTCATCTATGTAGCTTACTCCTATCTAGAGCCTTTCTGAGATAATGAAGACTATTCAAAAAGATCTGATAATGACTAACTTTATTTTAGGATTTGATATTCGCTTTCAGATTCCTCATGATTAGAATTTTATGCAGTATCATCAAGAATATCTTCACAACTCTTGGAAAATTCCTCTCGGCAAGCCTTATCTTAAAATACTTGCTTTACATTCTTGACGAGTTTCATAAATTCACTGCCCATAAATATCTTATCTTTATTCTTAAAAGAAAGTAAGTCATTAAGTAAATTCTTAATTCTTTCCTGGAGATTTACTAGTGCAAGAATAATATTTTAAGCATATCCCTCGAACCCCTTTCTAGAGACTTTGAAGAAATCGTTTTCTGACTTGCTATTATTAAATGCTTCTCTAATAATTACACATTCACCACATATTAATTCTTCTGTTTTTTAACAATAAATTTTGACCATTTCATCTGAGTGCTTGTCACATTAAATGTTGAGAAATTCTTGAGAGCTCAGATTTTGAAGAATATGAAGGTTTTCAAAAGGCTCAAAGTTATAATCAATAGTATGAGCATCATTGAAAGGGCAATTGAAGAATCCTTGTTTTTTTGAAGCTTCATTGAATTGGAAAGCTAAGCATGCTTAACATATTACATCTCCACAGCTAAGATTCATAGGTTTCCTGACTGTTTGATTGAATAATAAGTTGCATCCCTTGCAAGAATAAATCTTCATTTTCCAATAAGATATTATTAATTTGCTAATTGGGATCCTATTAATATATATTTGATCAATTAAGACTTGTTTAATGAGTTGATTTTACCTTATATTATTTATTTCAAATATATATAACTTTCAGATGAATATTGTAACATGGGGTTTTGGGGTTTTGGGGTTTTGGGG